CCGATGGTAAGTCTTGAAATACGCTGAGCTTCATTCTCTTCAGAGACAGCAGGTTCTAGAGATTCTGGAAAAAAAAGCAGGATATAAAAGCGGAAAATGCAGCTTGATAAAACCTCAATGATACAAATGGGTGAGAAGAGAATGGAATGAGATTGTGTTCCCACAGATTCTCCTCTAGCTTTCGAAATCCTAAAAAACAAACCAATTTTAGTCTCCAGCTCTGTTTTGATCTGCACGCTGACATCTTGCTGAACAACTGTGGTTTCTCCAGAATTTTCGGCTTGATCTCAAACATGAAATTTGCAGATCAATCTGGGATGAAAACAACAATTACCATTTTTCCGCCTTCTCTTTTTTGGCATGGGTTTGGTGTGATTTCCATTGTCAAGCGAAGCTAAATAAGCATTTCATGGACGACTTTTTGAACTCAATTCAAATTAAACCTTGCGGCTCTTCTAAGCAAGTTTCCTTCTTCACTTTCACCGTCGTGGTCTTCTTCTTGCTTTTTGCAACTGTTACTAAAACAATTATAGGTCCTTGCCGCGAAACTAAGTACAGATCACATGAACTACCCCGTTTATGAGTTTCCTCTGGTTGAGTGGCTACCGTCTGGCACTTGTATTCATCTGCAAAACAATTCAGTAATTACAGTGAGTATTGCGAAGAACGCCTGTGGTATACTATGGAGGTCGGAATATTATCAATACCTTTTTCCTCAGGCAAGATTAACTCTTCTTTTACATGCACTTCTAAGGTATCAGCTTCACTCTTCTCAACTTGGACACTGCTCGCAATGACCTTCTGTGCCTTTGTAGCTCTTCTATTCCTCATCTCCTGAAAAGCACACCCAAATCTGGTACTTGTAGCTTCCACAGCGCTCAAAACAACTGCGCTAATTGCAAACAAAGAATACGGAAAAACCGACGACTTTCTAAAATGGCAATTATATTCCTGTTTCGGGATATTACGTGCTCAGCATCTTATTTTTGTCATCAGCACGCTTTACTGCCCAAGCACGCACCTTTTATAGCTCGCCCACTGTAACATTTTACAGACAGTGGATCGGCAAAATTTGACAACTCAGGATTCTAACACGTTGACGACCGTGTGCATACGTGCATATGCGCTCTGACTCCCGTTTAGCATTTTCGTGCATATGCACGT